TTTTTTTTTTTTTTTTTCTTTTCTTTTCTTTTCTTTTTCTTCATAGTTGCTGTATTTCTTTGAAACAACCTGTATCTGGTGCTCGAATTCGGCCAGATACACAGGATGGCTTTGAGGAGGGTTTGGCTACGGTGGCAGACGAGTGAAATCGACAGCCTTCCAGTGTCTAACTACAGTGGCGGGTACTGGTGCCACCGTTTGTTTTCCCAGCAGCGGTACCGATCTCTTTTAGGCTCGGCAAAATTCAAATTTAGGTTCGTACATTTAGCCTCAGGTAAATGGTTTAACCTCTAGAACAGCTGTCATTGTTCCACAATGCGGAGCTAGAAAGTCCGGGATTGGCAAGATCCCTTTGAGGATTTTGTTTGCAGCGTACTGTCTTTCAAGTCTGCTTACCAACAAACCGTGGAAGCCGGGTTGAATGTTATCAAACTGAACCCAGAATTGTTCTTTAAGCAAAGTCTGTTTGTATGAGACTAAGAACGTTGGGTTTGGCCTCGTATTTGTCTGTTTCTTCCATTGTGTGATAGTGCATATTGAACCGTTGCAGTTCCTGGATTTCATCTCGGCTGCAATGCGTGCATGGTCCTCCAAGTCAAAGGTCACCATGACCGAGTTGCGACCCAGGGTGAGCATGGAAAAAGACTTGCTTGCAAACTTCAACTTGTCTTCCTTTTTTTCTTTTTTTTTTAACTAACCTATATTCTTCTCTCGATATATCTCCCTCCCTACCTACCTACACACTGCTTTAGCAATCCACTACAGGGTTTGTCCAAAGGAAGAAGGCTCTCCTATGTTAACAGGAAACAACTAGTCTCTGCCCTGTGCGGGGAGCAGTACCCACACTTCTAACACCAGGCGCGAACTGGAAGGCGCAAATAGTCGCTTCCCAGCCTACCCGGAGGCCCAAGCCAATTACCTTTGCTGGGGAACCTGAAGTGCATCACAGGAGGCCGTGGGGATAGAATGGATGCCATGGGGAATCGAACCCATGATCTCCTGCAAACCACTTCCGAACTCAAACCAACTGAGCTAGCCCAAGCTAACTTCTCTTCCTTTTTAATTGTCGCTGTGATCCATTTCCGTTTTTCTGCTGGCTGCAAGTCTGCACCACTTCTGGCGAAATTGAAGACGACAGCGTGTTTTTCATGCAATTCATCCAGTTCAGGCACTTTGCCTTCAGGGTATTTCCATATTATAATATCTTCCTCCTTGTCTTCATTTATCTTGACTTTTTCAACGACCATCTCCCCTTGTACTTCAGTTTTTCCGATGAGAAATTTGAGAGCCTCGTTATCGAACATCTTTGGCGCTGGTTTGCCCGTTTGAGCCGTCCGAGGGTTGGCTTTGGGCGCTTGAAGCATTTGCTTGAATGCTGCCAGGCCCTTGCGACTTGCTGGCCTCTGCATCGTCACAACTTCGCATATAATGCTGAACCCTGGGTTATACCTGTTCTGTTATTGTTTCCCTGTCTTCCTCCTCTTTTTTTTTTTCTGGAGGTTACTTTTTTTTACATAGCAGGAATTCAAGATGAGTGAAGTTCAAGGTTTGCTGAGCTTGCAGAGACAGAACTGTGCTGTCTGGAAATCCTGGATGGTGCTGGTTAACAGGCAGGGACTTGACAGGTGTTCGAGACGGTGTAAGGGATAAGAGTGAATTGTTGGGTGGGAAAGTGCGGTGGGGTGAGATATATGATGAGAGATGGAGGGGGCTGTGGCTTGGTGAGCGCAGAGGGGGGGAGAAGGAGGAAAGGAGAGAAGCTGGGTTAATAGTGGGGAGACGGCGAGATGTAGAGATGTAGTGGGGGGTGATAGGGGGGGAGTTGATAGGGTGTGGTGGAATGTGCGTGGTGACACTTAACTAGGGGTGGGGGGAGTGGAGGTAGGGGCTGCGACTGGGCGAGGACACGGTGATGACTGCGATGGCGAGGGGTGGCAAGGGCTCCTTAGAAGTTGGGTTGTGAGCATGAGATACGATGTAGAGAATTCAGACTAGCTAGTTAGGTTGTTGAGTTGTGTGTGGATGACATGTGTTGCGAGTGGAGTTCGAGAATAGGGAAAGGGAGTTAGTGAGGGCTAGTTAGAGTGGAGTGATGTGCCGTAGGGCACTAGCGAAATTCTCACTGTCGTTTTTGTCACTTTTGATTTTTGTAAGCATTTCTTCTTTGTTCAACAAGCAAAGAACAAAACTGCACTTTCATAATACTTTTGGGAAAAGAGGTGATTACTCACAGAG